ACCTTAAGGCAGCACTCAAAATAAATATTACAGAAAGTTCAGAAACAAATTAAGCTTCTGGACCGAAAATTTTGCACGAATAATAAAGACTTCTACTTCACTGCCACAACCAGAAAATTAAGACCGCTTGGCAGTGGGTGTGGATATCGCATGCTAATGATATTACTGGAGGCTCGCATATGCGGGATGCAGCCTTTATGAGCTATAAAAGAGTTCAATTTTCATGCCCGTGAGAATTTTCGGAGATTGTATTAATTAAACTTTCCAAGAAAGAAATTTTTTTCCCGTAGAAATTTTTCGACTCTCTCCAATTCTCCCCTCCTTTTGAACTCACTCGAAAACGCTGAGTAACTGTAGAAACTTCAGCATACATGTACTTCACAAGAGGTTCGCATGTAATATGCACAGTGTAGATGATAGGAAATGATGTATAGATACTGGAAATGCTGGGATTATGTTGTCGGCATACAACTGACATAATTCTAAATGTACAGTATTTATATATTATATGTATCGAAGACAGTTTCGAAAAGAGCTACTCGTCTCGTGGTTTAGTATTATCATAATAAGCACATATTTCCGTTTGGGCAAATTTGTCGAAAATATAACAGCATAATTTGCACAATTCTCAGGGGTGTTATCAGGATGGACATGAATAGCCGGGTGAATGTGAATATTCTTACCATGATAAGTGCTGGCAGTTGTGGAAGAGACTGATGTAATGGATAAGTTGGAAAGAGTTAATGAAGGGATTCTGGCCGCCCCACTCGACTCCGGGAACTGAGATGAGTTTCACTTTCACGCAAATGGAAGTGCTTGAGCCTCTGCAAGTGCCTGGAGGCCTTTCCTCCCTGATGTATTCGCCATTTCGGATTGATGCAATGAATGCAGTAGAGCAGCAGCAGCAGTTAGCAGTAGCAGCAGCAATCCCAGCCTTTTCACTCAGTGGGTGGTTCCCAATCGTTGTTTCCGATTCTCCTTCTCTGACACCAAGGAAGTAATCCATTTACAAGTACCAACAGCCCATTTCTTCTTTCTTTTCGAAGACAAAAAGCTAGCAATGAAGTTTAGAAGCACTAAAAAGTCTTTGCCTCATAGTGGTTTTTTTCAAAGAAACTTGAGAATTCTTTCAGTCAACGGAAAAACGTTTATTCCGAAAAAAGTGCCCGGTCGGTGTAATGCATCGGAAAGCAGCACTGCTGTCGTGCAGTAGCTCGAGAGTTCGATTCCACAGATGGAAAAACCCTCGGCTATTCGTTCATTCGTTTCAATGGTAAATTGGTAATGGCACATGAAAGGGCTTGTTTCTGAGCAACTCTCGGCAAAGACAGCCGTTGACAGTCTTGCCAGCCAGTAATTGCTGTTGGCACTTGCCACCGCTGAAGCTACTTCCGAATCTTGACTGGGGTAGAGTCTTTAGCTTCAATAATGTTATTAAAAAAGCTAAAGCAAGCAGTGTTTCATGTGTTTCATTTCGATTGTTCAGACGCGTTTTTCAAAAGCCTTTAGCTAAAGCGCTGCAAGGTAGCCGAAGAGCTTAAATGAAGATTCTTGACATATCGCCAAAATGTGCTGGCTTCTTGTTAACTCTTCGACAACAGATGAAGGCGGAAGGAGCTTTTTTACTCCTTTTCCCAGCTTTATACAGTATATTGAAAAGCCTATTGAAACAAGTGGTGCACGTATATCGAATGGCCGGTGGATACCCACTGAAGGTGTGCAACTCAGAAGGAACTGGCATAACTGCGCCTACACCCCAGTAAAATCACACGAGAACTCATTTTCAGCGTCAAAGTTTTTGATTTATTCTTTCCTCCCCTTCCAACGTCTTTCTCTCTCATTTCTGGTATTTCTAAGATTAAGGCCAGCTGGGATCTATTTTAATGAAATCGAATTACCTCAACCAGCCTTAATCTAGATAATCGAATTATCCCAACTAGCCTCAATTAAAAGTTTTGCAAGAAAAAGTTATTTTTGCTTAATTCAGTTAAAATCGAGACAGCGAAGTGCTTATGCACACCACTGGGAATAGCAAATGCCAAATCCAGTGATCGTCCTAGAACTCTTGGCCTTTTGGTTCTTAGTATCGTGGCCTAGCTAGTTCCTTCCTTAAAAAACGCTAAATCTTGGCCCTAGCTAAGCTGCATTAAAGCAATATTTCACTCCCTTATATTCCTGGTCCAATACCAAAAATATTCCTACTCCATTATTTTTAAATTTCATGAAAGCACTGACGCAGCAAACCTGTTGAACTGCTCATATTCTTCAGCAAGTGAGATGAATTTGACTCGAGCAATCACAAATCAGTAACAAAGTAGCATGACCACATGAATTTCAACTCAGTTTTAAATCAATTATAATTCATTCTAAGTCTAGTTAGAGTGAAATATAGCATACTTTTAAAATAAATTTGATGCTTTTGATTAAATTCAATTTTGAGTTAAATTGAGAAAACTTCGACCATCCGAAGTACTGCGTTTGATCCCTCCATGTTATCGCATAAATGGAAAAAAAACAAACCTGGCGAGCGAATGAAAAGAAGCGCGTACCTCATCACTGTCGAGAAGATGATCAAGTTCCCATGGATCACTTGTGTCACTGTTGGCTTGTGAATGCGGCGTTCCAAGTGGCGATGAATGTGCATGATTCCTCATTTTCCTTGTCTCGCAAATCTAAAATGCCTCCAATATATTTCTCTAGCAGACTTAAAGACAGTTCCGGTTCATGAAGCGAAATACCACGATTTAATGCGACTTAATGGATCGAAACATTCCTTTTCAGTTATTTTCCCCTCCTCCACTATTATATATTATAACAAGCTTTTTTTATAAAATACGCCTGTAGTAAACATTTTTTCTTACCACTGTACATTCATCTAACTTTTCCTATTGCAACTGTCCCAAAAATCATTCTTTATTACTGGATTCTACCATAATTCGGCTGAAGCTGTTTCAAGCTTTTCTGTAAGGATTCACAATTAAGCTCTAGTTAATCAGACTAGATTCTGGGCTGGCGAGGTTTCCCAATGTGGCGACGATATTTGGAGACTAAGTATTGACGCTAACATCTCTCAGTAACTGAAGCTTTGCCAGCATTCCTATGTCAGGAAAACCGTTGAGCCGTACAATTCCTTTAGGAGACGGAAAGAACGTCAGGATCACCAGAAGGCTGATCATCTGTCAAGGCAGCACTGATTAAAACAAACAAAAGTGAAGAAAGAAAATGGTGTGGGACGTTCCGAATATAATTAAGTGCTGAACTAACAGCTTTCTCAAGTATCAGATAATCAGGCTGGAGATGATGTACATTATCTGAGCTTATTGGCACTGGTGAAAATGATTGGTCAGAATAATTGGAAAAGCTGTCAGTTGCATAGCTGAACTATGAACTGAGGATGAACAAAGTATTAAAGTATAAAACAAAGGCTGGAACGCACCAGGCGAGCCGGTGCGATCATGCGTTTCTGCATCAAAACTAAAGTA